GGTCAATGACTCAAGAAAATTACCTGTTGAGTTCATAAAGACGTCTCCCTGAGAGAAAATACTGTGTCAGTGGCTGTATGAACTAATACACTGGATGCTTGAATCCATGAAGCATGTGTTTCCCAGGTTACTCAGACCATTGGCTCCCTTTTCTTTCAGAACTGGAACAAACAATATGAGAACTGATGCCTAGTTGTAGCTAAATGTTATAAACCAGTTAGCTGTATTCAGTGCAATGATTTTTATGACTCTTCCAATCAGCTAAATGGAGCTAGCATTTCTCTATCTGGTCTTGCAAGGCTAAAGTAGATGTTTTTCATGGAGCATCATTGGCAATCATAATATCTATACTTATTTGTAATCTAGAAGCAGCAATGATTCTAGCTGTTATAACAGTTTTCTAACATTCAAACAATTCTCTTCCAGTATTGTATCTTTAAAAAAATGTATACTTATTTAGTTGCAAGGTTAAAAAGAAATTTGATGCCTCAGGAAAAAGAAAAGAGGAGGCCTAATCACTTTTGATCCAGAAAGCCACAAGTTGTTAACACCTCAATAGTGAGAGAAGGAAAAAAAAATAAAAGAATGATTTTAAGATAATTTCTTTAAAAAGAATACACTGGAGACTTACCCTTGTGTCTATCTATTTTACTACTGTTTGCTATAAAGGACATTTCCTCAGGCCAACTCATATCTTTATTTCAAACTGGAAAGACAGAGATAGCAAAATGTTAATTTCTTATCCATTCAAATCACACCCAATTACTTTTAAAAACAAAGTTCTTATTTCTAAACCAGAAACTAGAGAAGAAAAATCAAGTTAATTTTAGTAACTGACTCTGAAACCATTTCAGTTGTTTATACTGGAGACTTTATAGTCATTGATAAGAATTAATTAGTAAGCTAATACATCAGTTACGTACCTTAAGTAAAATACTTAAATGATGGAGGGTACAGCTCAGTGGTAGAGCGCATGCTTAGCATGCAGGTCCTGGGTTCAACCCCTAGTACCTCCATTAAATTTTTTTGAAAATATTTTAAAAATTTATACTCAACCATCTATAAGACTAATTAAAGCTCTTAAATTTAGTACATTAGAACTATTACAATTTTTTCTTACCTTGTGACACATGCCAGAGTAATTATTCATTTTAATACAAAAGCTGTTAGCAATATTTCATGAATCGTGATAAGAAAAGACACACCAGGTTTTCAGTGACATGTGCATGCCAGTGTGTAAATCTGTGCTTATACAAGTTAAGTTTTGTTGGTGAGTGATCAGTGTTGATTAATGAAAGCCTGCACCATTAACTATGCAACAAATTTAGTCTCCTTATTTTTTGGGGGGGAGGGCTAGGGGGTAGGGGTGTGTGTGTATATGTGTGTGTGCATGTGCTCTATCACTGAGCTATACCCTCCTTGCTAGTCTCTTTAACTTAAAGAGGCAGCTTGAAATTTTTAAAAAACTTTGTAAATTTATAACTGAATTCACCTGTTTTTAACTCCTGTTCTCACAATTGCCAGCCAATCAATGTAGACATATTTATCTTTTCAAGCAATTTAAATAGTATTACAATAGGATCACATAAAGGTTTCATGGTTTTCACTACCATGAAAAATATAATGATCTAATAATAATTGGAAAAATTATAAAATGGATTATCAGTGAGTAACTAAACCTTTAAATTCTTCCCCTTCATTTGTACCTTCAATTACCAGGTGCTGCTCATCCTGGATTTTCAGATATTCCAATCTATGATCCACATCATCCAGAAGAGTGAGGCAATTCTGTATATGGAGGAGGAAATGGTTTGTTAATTTAACTACTAATCTTGAAACAAATGCAGATATAAAAATGAATGACAACTAAAAATGTCCTTGTAGTTATATAACTCATGTGACATATTTAGCATATTACAGTTATTCAGAAATACTTGTAATTCTGGTCATAAAATGATGGAAGGAAAATGTGTACTTTGTAAACATAAGCTCTGTGTCTCTAAAAGAGTTATGTAGGATTATGGGGAGATCAGAAAAGACTTAACACATATCAAACCAAAATTCATTGAGATTTAGATTTTTCTGAAGAGCTTACAGAAAAATTTTTTTAGTATGTAGTATGAAATTCAGTAAGTGGGCTTGTGATCAAGATGGAACTTGACTGCTTACTAGGAACTGAAAATGTAAAACCAAATGTCAAATAGAACTATACATTTTTGTTGATGCTCACCCTGTCTAAGGCACTCACAAAGTTAATTCATTTAAATCTTAAAATGACCCTAAGGGAGAAACTATTATTTTTCTCATTTACTCATAAGAAAACTGTGACAAGAGAGTTAAGTGACTTGCCTTTGGTTATTCAACTAACAGATGTCAGAGCCAGGATTTGATTCTTGGCAGCATGGCTCCAGGAGCTGCGCTCTTAACTCGTGACACTACACTGCCTTTCTACGGTGACCAAAGGAGGGTACAGTAGAGAAAGAACTAGGGACTACAGAATTGGTTAAAACTATGTATAATCCAAATTCACAGTGCAATGAAAACCTACTGCATGTGTCAGAAAGAATATAAGCAACTGACAGCACTACCTCTGAAGAGAATGGAAGACAGGGGTCAAAAGATGGGAAGGCAGAATTTTCACTATATACCTTTGTGTTGCTTGAGGTTTCTTTTAACATGTGTATGTTATTTTAAAATAAATCCAAAATAAACTCTATTAAAAAAAGATATTTGCTGTTACTTTATAATAAATTTCAGGTGACAAATATCTAACTGTGCATACAGTACTTTAAAAGTTGTAGTTTCCACTGAGATCCTAGATATGGCTTTCAGCATAATTACTGAAGACAAAAACCCCAGACACATGAAACATGGCTTTGACACTCAGGTCTTTTCAGGACCCTGAGATCCTCTCACCTCACTGCTATAAGCCACAGGTGCATGCCCTTCTCTGTGATGCACAGCCTCTGAGACAGATATTCATGACTTTCTTTGATGGTCTGCATTTGACTAACGCAGCCTGTACAGGCTAAGACCTGCTTTGACAGCGCACTTGGAGAGGGGACATTTCCTATGGTCACAGTGACCACATAAGGAAAAGGGCAGATATGAGTATGACAGCACCCCTCTCAGTAATGGAGGCCAGGCCACTTTAGTAAATAATGATAGGAAATGAGAATTATAGGTTTAATAGTTTTATAAAGAGACTTTAAAAGCTTTAGAATGAAGGTAGGTGGCTCAGTTGTCTTAAGAGTGAGACTTAACTTTGAAAGGGAGAACAATGAAATCACAGTGGCCCAAAAACAAAAGGCAGTATTTGGATCCCCTGAAAAGTGGCAAATGTCAGTGGGCATTGGTGTCTTGGCTGCCTTCAGCTGGGTCACACTCAACAGCAAAGCCACAACTCAGTGTAAGAATGGGGGAGCTAAAATGGGACTGGACTTGAATTTCAGATAGTTAACTGGATTTACCTGATCTGCTTTCTTAAACTGTCTTTGAATTATTAATCCCATCACTCTCGTTAAGTGACCCAATTACCTGGCACACTGGTACAATTAACACAGGAAGTTTTTACTAAAACTTGAAGTTGGCATAGACTCTAAATGGCCAAATAGACCTTTAAAGTGAAGCCAAAAGGCTTCCCATGACAAAAAAAAAAAAAAGCCCTATTAAAAGGTAGTGTGTGTTGGGGGAATCATGGCCTGCAATAAAAGGACAGCAGATGACCTTGAGCTCTCAAAGGGCCCAAGGTGGAAACAAAGAGTGGCAACATGGGGAATGAGTAAAGACTAAAGGAAGAATATATAAAGTCTAACCACATCCTTCAAAAGAGAAGGCAGAAGAAATGACAACAGATTATGGAAAGCAAAAGTAGGTTGCTAAGAAAATCTGCTAAACCCTGGTTTCAGCCAACATCTAGAGACAAAAGCTGTAGTTTAAAATGGTCATCTCTACCTTCGGAAGGTTATAGTTTACTGAACAACCCAAAACAAAAGCACATGTAACATATCAATATAATGCATCTATCTAGGGTACAATTATACACTCTAGGTAATTTCCCACCTATTTAATGGTGACTTAGCTTTTTTCCTTCCATTAAATGTGCTTTGAGTCTTCACCTACTAAAAAATAAAAATGAAGTATTGGCATCATCTGCTTTTCCAGAGCTTCCAAAAAGAATTAACTCACTGAAAACTGGCTGAAAAATCATCTAACAATGACTTTTGCAGCCTTGTCTGTTGAAAAGGCTATGTTTAAGTCAATGTAACTGTGGCAAGGTTTGTATACCTGTCACTTCAAAAGGAATAAAACAGCCTAGTAAACAGTTGATAAATAAGAGTAATGAGAAAGATGAAAACTACGTTATGGAGAACAAAACACAACTATGATCAATTTTTAAACATCTAACAAAACAAGTCATTTACTATTGGCAACCAGAAGATAATCCCTGAAGAAAAGAGCAAATTTCTCCAATTATACATCAGAGGATTAGTTATAAGATTACAACAAGAAAGCATATTTTTTATAAACTTCAAAATGATTAATGATTGATTTCACAATGAATTAGTAAGAAATAAAATTTCAAATTAAGAACAAATTTTTAGCATAATTGTAATGGAGAACAAATCTGACTCTATATTGGATCTGTTCCTTTAGTTTTAAACACTGCTCTCTGTTTTCTAGGCTTATTCTTCCTATCTCTGCACCTTTTGTAAAACAATGTTGCCTTTAGCCTGTCTGGTAAATAGGAGAGCCTTTTCTCAAGGCTCTGACCTTTAAGGATATTAACACTTCCGCACATAAAGATAAGTTGCAGAATAGAAAATAATATTTGTTTTGTTGGAGGTTTACAGGGACACCAGACCTGACCCACATGGATAGCTGCAAGAACAAAGAATTCCGACAGCAAGAAGTTTGCAACAACCAACCACACCCCCTCCTTTTTTTTTGTATAAAAGGAGCCTATATTCTGACTGGAGCAGCATGATTCTGCAAAACGTTGGTCTGCCATCCTCTGTCTGCTGGCTTTCCAAATAAAATCGCTATTTCTTGCCCCAACACCTCATCTCCTGATTTACTGGCCTGCTGTGCAGTGAGCAGGATGATCTTTGAACTCAGTAACACAGTAACAACCCAGTTCTAGGATTCAGAAGCATTTGCAAGTGTAGTGTCCAATTTCTATTGTCCTAAGCCACATAAGAAATGTATTTGAATTCTAGACACTTTTTGTAGCATCACTCATTAAGCAGGCAGCCACTTATTATACATAATTTTGTGCATCTTAACAGCACCAACAAATCTAGTGGAATTTACAGAAGCAGCAAAAATTTAGGCTCAGCAAGAGTTACAAAGTATACTTGACTTAAAGTGCAACAACACATCTTGCCTCTCCTGTTACCTTTCAAAGAGAATTTTAAAAGATATGTGCTATGGGTACATGAAAGCAATGTAAAGCTATTATTCAATAGAAAATTAAACCAAGAGTGTTTCATAGAGATTCTTACTTCTCTGTTCCATGATTTTGATGTGTTCGCTGAAAATGAAGTTTAGCTAGGCAGAGTCTACTGCTCTCCTATAACTCTTACCAAACAGTGTAAAGAGTCTCCATATAATATCTGAACATAACCTTTAAGACATAAAACAAACCCTATTAAATTTCAAAGGAAGGATTCCACTTACAGGGTTGGTTTGGGTCCATAGGTAGTTCTTGCATACTATTATAATGACATTCTGGCACTAGTAACATGAAGTTTTTGTGTAAATGGATGAACTCAGAACTACTTCAAATATTTGCAAGGCAAAAGCATTGAGCAAGTCCTGCCATAAATAAAATTTAACTTCAGAGAAACAAAAGGGAGATTTTTGCGTGTAATACATTAAAATGAGAACTTATTTATATGTCATTTTGATAGGTTTGATATTTTTCAGAGGAAATGTGTCATTTTCAAAAATATATCCTTTGTTTTGTATTATCTCTTTTTAAAGGCACCTTGGACCTAGCACGAGGAATATATCATGTTTTGCTTAAAAAAAAAAAAAAAGATGATACTGCCCAGGAAACTACTTCTTAGAAATCTGAGTGGACATGAGTAGTCATTGACTGGCAGACTGTAAGTTAGGTCAAGCACATAACTTATAATGGCTTGTTCTCAAGGAAACAAAGTATGTATAATTTACTTCTACTCAATATCATTGTATGTTCACAAACCAAAATGGGACCATTCTCAGTGTGCTGCTGAGATTTTGCCTCTATCCCATCTAGTCTTGTGCATGCCCACAGATCTAAGCCCCACAGTGATTTATTGATTCTGTATGAAAATAGATAGAAATGTGTTATTAGTACAGTGGCAGCAGACTTTGAGCACCAGACTTTGAGGATTTTGTTTTATATTTTTTAAAGGAAACACATGGTATTCTTGCTGCATTCTTAAGTTACCTCTTGGTAAATGTTGAGGAAACATTCTCAGGAACATCATACACATATTCATCCAGATGTTAGACTGCTGTGTCCAAGCGGCAGGCTGCTGTCATAGGAA